TCAGAGCTCCTTTCTGCTTACCCAATCATCCGGGCATTCCTGGTCAACTTTGTTTGGGAGCAGGTTCCTGCCGCTAGGAGGGCGTGTTCTTGTTCCTTGAAGCTCTGTGCGGTTCTGGATCTCTTGATGACCCTGAACCGTGGCGGGTCGGTGGGACCATCAGAACTGCATACAGCTATCAAGGAGTACTTGGACTGCTTTCTGCAGACGCATGGGGACGAATTCTGGGTACCCAAGTGCCACATGTCTTTACACCTGGGTGAGTTCCTTGAGCGGTTTGGTTGCCTTCCCTCATGCTTTTGTCATGAGAGAAAACATAGACTGGTAAAGCGTTTCGGTGATCCTGTTTGCAACTTCAACCAGTCTTTTGAGAAGAGCATTCTTGCAGACATCATCCATGTACAGCTCTTGGACTTAAGGCAAGACACATTTCATGTCGGTGTATCGTTGGTAAATGAGAAGGTCGCCAGTGTTGATCTGGCTCGACTTGCGCTTCGTGGTGACGGCGAAGTGAAGACTTCATGGGTGGCACAGGCCAAAGACGGTCAGATGGTCCACAAGGACGATGTGGTGGAGTTCTCGGAGGGGGTTGGCCAGGTGATGTGCCACTTGAGGCAAGGAGCCATGATTCTGACGGTTCTAAGGCCTTGGGATCACATCCATGGCCAAATGTACAAAGTGAAGGATGTGCCAATAGTGATTGAGACCAAAGAGGTCAAGACATGTTGCATGTACAGCCTCAAAGGTGAAGACGCAATGGTGGTGAGGAGGTAAATACAGAGCTGCATGGGTTGCAACTGGTCCCTCCCATGTGATGTGATATCGTGTCATGTCCTGTTATATGTTATAAATCTATATACCCCTTTCATGTAAATAAAACAAAGAACCTGCTCACGAGCACACTACCCTGTAAGCGGTCATGGCATGAATGGTGTCCTTATAAGATCCAATCACCAAGGTCAATTGGTACATGTACAGTCCACATGACATTCCCAGCCTTTCTTTCCCACGCAGGTGCTTCAAAGCCAGCGGCTGGTGACTTGGCAAAAGGGCTTTTGTCTATAGTTTTGGGGGCATGTTTAAAACCACTTAGTATACTTACTAACTCTGTTATCTAAAATAGCTTAAGTCGACTAACTAGATAGCATGTACACTATGTACATAGTATATAATGTAACTACTTAACAACCAAGAAGAGCCTCCAAGTACCATTTGCACAAAAGATCACAAAAGACAGTTGCAAAGCCAGCTTGACCGCTTGACCTTCAGTCCCAATGAACGCTGGGATGCAGGAGTGCGGTCCGTCAGTGCGATCCGGGTTTCAGCGTGAACTGCCCACCAGCACTTCTGTCGATGCACCGAACCATAAGGGACAATGCGGGAACCACCTCAAGGAGGTGCGTTGAGAATCGGGCTGCGTTGAGAGGAACTTCAGATGGTCTATGTTCTTCCCGTTTGTTTTCTGAGCTAAGGATTTGCTTGGTATGCTGTAACAAATGATAAAAGTCAGGAGAGATACCTCAAATAGATCTTGGAGGGTATGGAGTCACACCAATGCAGACTTTACATCCAGAGATATGTTACAGTGCATGGACGGCTAGCGAACGGCTAGCGCCCTTCGCTCTGTCAGACAAAACATGAATGCAGGGCGACAGCTAGCACAGCAATGCTCAGCTCGCACAGCAAGCGCTCACCCTCTCGTCAGGTGTACCGGACCCACGACCCCCGAAAGACCCAAAAGCAATCACAACCCGTTTCTTCTTGGTAGCTCCTCCTCCTATCTACATCAGACCTACAACTGCGCGAGTTCATGAAACCGCCTGCGCGCGAGCTCTTTTCACCGCAGCCTGCGGTTGACACGGAATCGCCCCAGGCCGCTCCGGGGCCGATTCGCGTCGGAGAGGTTTGGAGGAGCGCGGAGAGAACAGGACTGTCCCGGACACGACGTTGAAACCACATGCGGTAGTGAGGAGCAGTGGCAACTCAATGATCAGAGCCGAAAAGATTCACAAGGGTCATGCCATGCTGTGGAGACAAGGCAGTCGGCTTAGTCAAGATCTGAATCTGACGCCATGTGCAAAAATTGTCAAGGGAGCTGGTGGTAGCAAAGGTGCACACCTTGCAGTGAGCCTGTCATGGCATTGACGAGATGATATCATTGATATCATGGGAAGATTGTGTTGGTGCATTGCACTCTCTGGCCACTGGCGGCCGCTGGCCACTAGGGAGATCTGCAGCAGAAGAGGCTTTCTGTGTAGTTGACAATTTGTGCCGATTCGGACAGCAATGACAACTTGGTGAAATTGCAAGCAGAATTGACCTCAAGGATGACATGTGACTCAGATGCTGAGGTTGATATTTGCCAAGATTGAGTGCGAACTGACGCCGGGATGGAAGTGGTTTCTCCGTGGACATGTTCGTCCGTCTTTCCCGGTGCATGGCGCAAAGCGGCATATGTTTTTTTAAATGTTTTTTTAAAGCCACAAAGTACCTGACAATGCTCTTTGCAGCGAATCAGCATTTCTTGCACGTCGAGTTGTGGGGCTGCAGTGTGCTGCGTTGCAGCAGGGTCGATACGATGCAACTTTCCGAATGCGGTTTTTCAGCTCAAGGCCACTGCCACCTGTACTGATACCGGAGGTTAGCATCATACGGTACTGCTACCTTGTATAACCAGTTTATATCAAAAATGCCAAGACCAGCTTCCCAGGCCTCTCGTCCTTCAAGAACAATGAGCACAGTGTTCATCATTTTTATATTTCACGTCCTGCACCTGGAGACGCAAGTAAAACCTGAGGAGGGGGAAACAACACCAGCAGCTATACCTGCTACACCTGTAGAGGGACAATTGCCATGCCTTTAGCCAAGCCGCCTGAGCAGATTACCACAAACAAATAAGTGCACATGAACTATATAGTATCGTCAAAGCAGTGTTTGGATGCAAATGATGCACTTTCCATCACCTTGCATCTTCTGCATCAAGAAGCCACCAAAAATCATATCCTTGGCAAACCAAAAGCGCCAGCAAGCTATTACATGCACTTTTCCGCACCTCCTGCAGACCCCCTATCGGCTGGCTTTCGCAATGTACTCACAATACCTATCCGGATTGGTAGCTTGTGCCTGATTGCTTTCATCTCCCGACCCTTCTCAAAGCTTCTAGGTGATGGAAACAAAAAAGGAATATGTGAAACAATCCAAGCCTGTAAAGAACACATTTCGTGTAGGCAAATATGCCAGTCCCATGCTATTACTTTGACAGTCCAGCTCACTATGCAAACACCTTGGGTTTCCAACATAAATATACATAAATACCAATCCAACAGCTGGTATCATGCATGTATGTATGGGATTTTGCAGGGGCTTTGCGCAGCCGTATATTTAACTGCTCGCTAGATCCCGGGCATTGCGCTACTTCACCATAGCAAGGTTGATTCAGTGCCACCACCAGTCATTCAGCTGCCATCGGGTGCTCCACTCCCTGCATGGCTGGCATGGATCCAGCAGTCTGAACCAACAATTCGGGAGACTGAAACACATTTGTTGATTTAGATTTGCAGGACACCAGACCGAACTGGTTGCGATTCGTCAACTTGCAAATATGATTCATGCCAACATATGAGTATTCAAACATATGAATTCGATTGAATTCGCTTACTTTACCTGGAACTGACGCCTGTTCCTGCATTGTCTTCGATTTCCAGCTGAACATTCATCAACACAATTGGTCATTTTAGCGATGCCCGACTTGAACCCATCCAGAATCATCCCACCAGGGTCCCTTGTAGGGGTCCGGACTCAAGCAGTATACTAGCTGACCCCTCAAGGCGGGCCGGTTTCACCGAAACAGATCTGCAGGATCCAGTGAGACCTCTTTGAGGTCAAAAGAAGGAGTCTGGTGTCTTTGGCAGCAAACAATTCATTGGACTTAGAGAGTTCGTATGAATTCAAAGGGTGTTTTACATGACTTTACATGACGATAGGCTCTTAGAGTTCCTGATGTGAGCAGCCAACCATCTCTTGCTAGTGGGCCTGGGCCTGATTTGCAATTTCAACACCAGCGTCCGATGAGACAGGCCCAAAAAACACCGGAGAAGCGTTGTTTGCTCCGCAGCACTGCGCTGCGGCTGCTCCGGCATAGGCGTCTCAAACATCAAGTCTGCTCTGGCTTGGCTCAGGTGGAACTGGATTGGCGAGGCTCTGCAAACTATGCTGCACGTGCACGTCGGCAATGTGTGGCACCTTTTTGGTCGCTAGCATCGGTTGGCTTGCTACTAGTAGGCGCCAAACCTGAGAGATCATGCAAGCAAGAAGCTCGGCAGGTGTTAGTAGGTGTTTGTGCAACCGAGTGGTCACCTGTCCCCTCCAGGAAGTTCAAGTCGAAGGGCAGGCTGTTGTGTTACATGAGTCATGGAAAACAACCTACAAAGTGACAAAGTGAAGACGGTTATATAAGGTTATTGTACGGTTGACCCAGACCGACCAAACTGACCAAGAAAACACGTCTCACCTGTGAAGGATATTATCTTTTTGCAACTCGTTTGTCCGACACAACACTCGTGCGGGACACTCTTGCGGGACACTCTTGTAGGATACTCTTGTGTGACACTCTTGTGGCACACTCTTGTGGCACACTCTTGTGGCACACTCTTGTGGCACACTCTTGTGGCACGCTCTTGTGGGTATTCTTGTGGGGCTTTCTTGTGGGACACTCTTGTGAGGCGCTTTTGTCAGACACTCTTGCTGGAGACTCTTTTGTGCGACACCTTCGAAGGACACCCTTGTGGACTGCTCCCAGCAGTCTTGTAGGTTGTGGGACAATTCTTGAGGGTCTCACACCCGGTCACCAGTGACGCATGTTTCCCGTTCACCAATGGCACAAAGACGCCATGCACGTAAATGCACGTAATCCACCGAGGCCGCGCCAGTCACGGGTCAAGCGGTCAAGCCGTCACCCTCGAGACTCAGAACCCTTTGCTAGGCATTCGGGAATAAACCACTCAGCCGGCATCTCTAGCCCAGTCTTGACAGCGACAAGTTGCCAAGGAAAAGATCAAGAGGTTCACAGCGACAAAGAACACGCTTCCTGGCGAGCCACGGATTTGTGGTTCGTGCTGTGGTGACTTATGCACCCAACTTCACGACAAATGACGTGATATTGGTGACTTATGGAATCAAAAAGGATCAACCGAACAACACCGTTGTCCTTGGACGAGATCTGGGAACTCAGTCGCTAGCAGCTGCCTGGGTTCGAAGGCGACATGCGAGAAGCCGCAAAGCGGCGAGGAGAGGGTGGATCAATGTGTCCTCTGTGGTTGGGACTCTCCGAGTAAAGCCCACTGATCGGTTGTTGGCGATCACGCGAGCAGCTTCTATCAGCTAAGAACCTTTAGAAACACAAAGAATCCAGGGGATTTGGGGCAGACTTGCAACGTTTTTTGGAAAGAAGGGGACCCCCCAAATCAATGGATATGCCAGAGAGGTTGCAGGCCCCAGGTTGTTGCACCAGGTTCAGAGCGTTGGCCAAGTTCCTATACCTGGAGTCTCAAAGTACCTTTACCTGCATTTTATAGGGTCATGTCCACTTGAAGGGTCCAGGTAGTCAATTCCCATGTTTGGCCCAACCGTCCCATGCGCAGAAGGAACGCCGGAGGAGCCGCTCTCATCCGCCTAGTCTACGCGTGTCCCAACACTCACGTCTCATCAAGATGCAAGGCGAGAATGAATGCGGCGAAGAAGGTGATGAGCAAGTACAGGCCGAGGTTCCTGAAACGATCGCAACTAGGCTGTCACCTTGTTGGTCAGAAGTAAGTTGCCGAAGTCTGATTCAGGTGAAGAAACACCTTGCCAGGTAGTCTTGGCATGTCTTGGTACCAGTTCGCTCCAAAAATGAACAACACAACTGGCGCCAGGCTATTTTGTGACCATCCCAGACCTGAAGGCTGTGCCCCCCCAAACATGAGAGTCAAAAGGGTATGGTTCGTGTTTAAGTCTCAAGACTCAAAATGCTTATATATTGGTTGTCTGTATCTTCCTTCACAAACTAAGCAGAATCATTGGCTGGTCTTCGTTCTGTTTTGAGTGGCGTGGGCCTGTGTGTTTCATTCATCTTTCGTTTCAGGATCTTGGTGTCCGCTGACTGCATTGGAGTACACGACACAAGTGTCTGATCTTTACTCACATGGCCCATGCAGGTACCAGGACCATCCGACCATCGGGGTGTGGCTGGACGACCCCTTACTAGGGATCCACATACCTTCTCAGGTTCGGTACTACTGGGCCCGTTCGTCTCCGTCCTCACCATACCTGAGAAGGTACGAAAACGGATCCCAAACGGCTATCCCTGAAAGGCTTCCAAACAGGGCACCACGGAGGTCCGATGGTCCAGGTCTATCGACCGCGGAACCGGAGGACGAAGCGGAGCCCGGATCGATGGACCGAAGGACCGAGAGCGGAGAAACCGCTGGAACCGGCCCAGCGAAGAATGCACATCTAAACCGACCCTGAACATCTTCCAGGTGTTTCAAGCGGAATCTGGGGTATTTCAAGTTTGCATTTTAAAGCGCAGAGAGAAGATTTGGTCACTGAAACCACTGAATTGCAAGGGTGTCCCACACATGTGTTCATTTGTTTTGCAGCCCGGTGGAAGCATCTTCGGTGCACGGACGATGTTCCGTGTTGGTCTTGAAGAAAACCTGTGGCTTGTGGCCCTGGGATAACAATGCAGGTGATTTGGCATAGTCCTCTGGTGAACATGGTTCTCAGCAAACCACGCCTGATATACGTGATTTTGCGTTTTGGGTTTTCTCAAATGCATAGTCCTCTCGGTGTCAAGCAGTGATAAGCTCATCTAGGGATCCACAAACCCTCGAGAACGGGGTTTCTTCGACCGTGCATGCATATCATTAAATCATCACCAGCCAGGGCGCGTTTGCTTGAGTGCTCTGTGCAATCGAAGGTCGAAAAACGGCCCTGACCCGAACCCGCCAAGGTGCACCAATTGCTCAGAAATCCAGTTTGAACGACCTTGGGGAAGGGTCTTGCTCAGTCCAGAGTGATGTCTGTAAATACATCTGATGCTGGGGTGAAAAAGAAATGTCGATCTTCCCTGAAAACCAGGCGCAAGTGCACTCTTGCATCCAACAGGAACTCGTCTGGGCAATTCTGGTCCCTGTCAGGGAAGACATCAGGAGATTCAAAGACGGAACAGCCGAGCCATATCATGAGGATCGTTTAAGAGAGTTTTTCCTAAGCACATGGGATTTGGTGATTGAGCGGAGGTGTAGGCAGTGCGTGACACCGTGTGGCTCCAAAAAAAAACAAAGCTTACGAAAGGTGCAAGACAATGTGGACAAAAGGAGCGATGCTGCTGACAAAGCAATACTTGTGTTGTAAGTTTGCTCCAGGCACAAACAACATTGTCCGACTGAGCGACGCTGATGGCTAGCGGCTAGCGCTTCAATGCTTCTGGTGCGAATTGAATTGTTTCTGCCACAGCGTGGGCTGCAGGTCACTACGGATGTGTGTACTTAAGCCATCCCTATGTGTGTGTGAGCTATTGTGAGCTTACGCACGGCTTACACGCAAGTTCCTGTTTAGCTCATTCATCTCCACCACTTCTGGTGGCCACAGTAAAAGCTCATTTCTGCAATTTCACCATCTGTAGGGCCAGCGGCGTGAAAGAAGCAAGCAGTACATGCTCCAACCTGTTCCCATAAAACCAAAGAGGTTCACCTGAACACCAAGTTCAACTTAAGGCAATAGCAGCCGTTTGATGTCCTTTTGCACAAGATCCCCCAAGTAGTTGCTTCATGTTGCTTCCCATTTTCCATTCCGAGCTAAGCAAGACTCCTCAAGGAACAATATGGTGCTCACATGTGCTCACGCACGTGCTTCAGCAACACCCTATCCCCCCAAATGCGTACACACCCTTACAAAACTCAGTGGTTTTGCTTGAGCAGGGGCTCGATAGGACAAGACCGCAACATGTATGTAAAGCTGGGAGTTACTCACCTGGAAGCAAATGATGTTGGCATGACCGCGTGCCATGGAGAAGTTTTAGGAATGCCTAGAAACTATTGGCAATGTGTTCAGGAGCAAACATAACCATAGTTAATCCAGTCACATGGACTCCTCAACAAAAGTCCATATTACCAACAAAAGTATTCTAGTCACATGACGTGTCTGGGCTTCTCATCAATGAACTCCAGGGCATCACAAGCTTCCATCTGACATGTCATTATGCAGTGTGCAGTTGCACTCGCGGTGTATCCAACAGCCGAGGGATTCATAAGGTTTTAATTTTCAATCTCTAGAATCCCCTTAGGTATCTTGCACAGCAGCATGCACAAACCCCAGAAACTACACTCTTTGAAGATACTAGACTAGATCTCAAATCTGTCATATTCTTTAGTGGAGCCCACTGTATGTGGAACAAACCATGGAAACTGTGTGGCGAGTGTGTGGCGAATTGTCATCTTTCAGATCGTTCCAGAGGCTTTGGGATCCCAGTGTCTATATTTCTTGATTCCTAACCCCCTGGCATTTCGATCAAAGCCTCTTCATGGGGCGGGGGGCCATCACGTCTGCCAGCACACCTCCCAGGCTCGACTAGAACGTCCACGCCATGGCACGTCGGCGGCAAAGATAGGTGGCCATCACCGTGGTGCGCAAGATCCAGGGCACCGAAAAGAGGCACCTTTTCGGTGCGCTGCGCAGGATCGGCGAAACGTGAGGAGTCGAAACGGTCACCATGGTGACCAAACGGGGAGCTGAGGTGCCAAGCTCCGGAGAAGTGTCGGAGAAGGCATCCGAAACGAGGACATGCTGGGATTCGTGATGGGTGAAGTGGGATGGACATGTGCTTGAAAATTTTGAAATATCTAAACGGTTGTTGGAAAGCTAGTCCACACCCCAGGAATGTTTTGCGGGAATGGATCATGCGGTCTTTTTTCAGCAAATTAATGGGTTGATATTGTCATCGAATTTCAATAGGCAGCGGAGTGGCTCTGATTGAGATCCTTGCTTACCTGTCTCTAAGCTTTTGGGTAAGTCATTAGACTCCTTAACTGTAACCTGAGAACCTCTTTCAACCACCCTGATTCAAATTCAACGAACAAATGGTCCCAAAATGTTCCAAATATTAGTTAGTCCAGAAGCACCATGGGATTGAATTATATGACTCTTTTGAAGGATGGAACAATATAATGATAAATAAATATTTACAATTAATGAATTATACAGATGGAAATCTGTTCTAGTCACTATGGTCTTCGAATCAACAGAGCCAAGTGCCACGCTGTCTCTATGAACCGTGTTGCTAACATAGACTTTCATGATGGCAGCCGCCTGAACTTAGCACATGAGGCTACCTATCTAGGCAATAATCTCAATCACACTGTAGACCTCAGGAAAGAAGTTATACAGCGCATCCAAGAGACGAAGCGCACGTGGAACAGACTCTCTCTGTTTTGGAAGGATCCCACTACCAATAAGAAATGGCAACTTCTTATTTATGATGCAGTAATCAAAAGCAAACTGTTGTATAGCATTGAACCAATACATTTGACCCAGTCGCTACGCAAAAAGGTGGATTCCTTCCATCTACGGGGACTACGAAGAATTCTGAAATTGCCCACTACATTCATAGACAGGCGCAACACAAATATGAGGGTCTATGAACTTGCCTCTGAAATGGCTTTTCCGAACCAACCTACCAAAAGGATTAAGCCTTTTTCTCAAGAGCTAGATGAGAGGCGAGTAAAGTTGGCCGGGCATATTTTAAGAGCGCAGGCCTCCGATCCTCTAAGACAGGTCTCATACCAAGCAGGCAGTGGGGACCCCATCCAGATCGGTAAACGTAGAGTTGGCCGTCCTAGACAACAATGGCTGTATAGGACTAATGAAGCCATTCACAATATGATTAGCCACACAGATTATGATGGTGACCCTGTTCAAAATAGCTTTATTTTACGGGCAGCGCAGCAACGTATATATCGTATGAGTCCTTGCCAAGCGCCAAAGCATCTTTTTTGTGTTGCTATGGAGCAACGTGATGCATGGCTAAAGAAAAAAAGAAAAACATGAATTATACAGTATGTATTTATTGTGGGGGCTTAGAGCCCTTGTCCCCGCCAAAAACACAACTCATCCAGGAGTCACAAAGGGGTGGTGTTTAGTCCCCAAGTGAGTGGATATTGGGCAACCCTAACCTCGATTAAGCACTCCTTTGTGACTGCTGGATCTTTCATCTTTCTGCTTGGCTTGGTGGTTCCCTTTAAAACAAACCCGACGCACTCTGGCGTCTTTTTGCTCCAGAACACACACTTCCCTCTCAGGCCCCCCGTCTCCAGGGCAAGCTCTCCCAGCGGCCAAGTGAGGTTGATGACGCCGACCACCGCGGCACCACTCACGTTGCCGCAGCGTAGGCGCGTGGCGATCTGGTCCTTGTGCGATCCGCGTCTCCCGAGGCCGGTCGAGTCGAGTCGGTTAGTGTTCAACTCGAAGGGGTCATCAAGGATGTCCAAGCAAGCAGGTGAGATCGATGAAGCTGCAGTGTAAAGACTAAATCAAAGACCTGGTCTCTATACTCAACCTATCATGGCCAAATCAAAGGTCACCAGGATCCATCTCGAATGTGCATGTTCATGACTGTCTGGGTCCTGTACATGAGACCAAAGTTGTTCTTTGGGTGGCTTCATGTCATGTCTTTTTGTTTGTGGACTTTTTGCATTGATCCATAACCCCGCCGTATGAAGAAGTCTTACAATCCAAATGGTGGCCCAAATAGCCGCTCTGCCGTTCTCGGGAATGGCCTGCATGGCCCGAAGTGCAGATACGCTTTGTTCAGAGGAAAGAACTTCGATAGTCTCTCACCCGGATGCCTCCTGAATTAGTTAATTGAATTCTTTGCCCAAATTAATGTCCATAGCTTGAGAACCGCCTTTACAGATGGTTGTACGCTCACTTCGTTCGTGGCCTTTGTTGTTTACCGCTCTCTTTTCGTTGGTCTCACTTGTTTCTGTACATGTACCAGGGCGCCACCTTTCTAGCTAAGACATTCTCACTTACAACATCCGCCAGTACCCGTTGCAAAATTGCGACAAGGGGCCGAGTGGAAGCGGGGATCGGACCGCAAGTGCGTGCATCCAAATGGTGGCCTTTCATTAATCAAGACACTATAGAGTAGTTTGGGGTGTGCTCACGTGTTCACCGACCCCCCTTTCTGTCCCAACGCGAAGCCCGCTCCATATTCATCCAATGAAATGGCAGACCAACAAGCCTCAGCACTCTTTCGGTCTCCAGATGCGCTGAGCCCAGCGATTGGAGCTAGATGGAGCGGAGGGAGCGGAGCTTGTAGACCGGTGAAGAAAGAGTCCAAGCAATCAGGTCGGAAGTAAATGTCTGTTGATAGGTGTGACCTTCTTAGAGGATAGGAATGATGACAAAACGTGTTGAAAGGAAGCAACCTGCAAGGAACCCTGGTGTCTGAAATTGGTCCAAACTGGGCGGAAAAAATCGCCCCAATTGACATTTGGACAGCTGAAATGAGCCAAAGCACCTTTTCACCGGTTTTCAGATCTGGTGGAATCGGAACCCACAACCCAGCAACCGGCAGGGAGACCCAGCAACCTGTGGGTGGAAAACCTGGCAACAAATTGCTAGCATCGTTACCATGTGTAGAAAGCGACCAAACAACACACCGCATGAACGCTCGTGACTATCCCTCATTACATGCTGATTGTCTTTTGGGGGTGCAATGTTGCTGAGAGGAACCCTTCAACCATGAACAGAATGATCATCACCCTAGCAATGTGCAGCCGAATAATCACCCTGGTTGAATACTCATATATGGAGACTGACATAGACTAACAGTTCATTTTTGAGGTCCGCGATCATCTTGAAATAACAGTTCTAACGATTGTAATGCATTAGGAAACCTTCGCTAGGCATCATGCTCAGAAACCTTCCAGAACATTCTGAAACATTCATTTGCATGCAGAATCAATCAGGAATACATCTAACCCTTATCTGCCCACAAATTCACCCCAACATGAAGAAACGCTATACACAATGCATTACATATAGAGTATAAAACGAACAACATGGAAAATTATCATGTGAACACACCCACAAAAAGCAACAAAACATCCAGATAATTTCCAAGCATGTCTAAAACAACATCCAAATCATGAAAACGCCATACCTCGTTCTTTCTTGAATGAAATGGAATGAATTTGATTGAGTCTCCAGTGCCCACAAGTCTCTGTGAAGCACCCCTATTCCTTACAAAAGAACAGCGTGGCATAAAATTCAATCGAAGTCTTCCGACCAATAAAGCGTCTTTTGAGATGATCCAATGAAGTACCCCTGCAAGCAGCTGGTGCCCTCCCTCTCTTCAAAAAGAACAAAAAGAGGCTGCTCAACTCCTCCCCAAAAACACAAAAACACCAGCCAGCTCTGAGAAGCACCAGCCAGCTGTAGCTCGTGAAGGCATGGCCCAATTGCTGTCGCATGGCCTTTGAGATCTCCGTCCTGAACCGCTCCGGGACGACGACGTTCCACCGTTGTGACCGATCGGTCGCTGATGTTGATGTGACCGTGGTTGGACTGTGTTGATGTGAGTGTGTGCGTTGCACGAAGAAGAGAAGGGATTGAGAGAAGGAGATCTATCCACTGTTGCGGACAAACACTTTCTTGAAGTGTTCCAATTCAACATGTCAACAACCGTTTGTTGGTCGGAAATCGTCTGTTGAAGCACACTCAATGACTGCACGAATTACATGTTAATCTATAACAAGATTCGAGTTTTGAACATGGGATCTTAACGAATCTTAAAGACTTGAAGTTGCGTTATGACCTGCAGAAAGGGCCTTTCAGGCCCTAAAGTGGCCTTCGAGACCATCTGGTAGAGCTATTAGGTTCAGCCTTTTCAGCTGGTACATCGACCCGCCAGCAACCGGCCGTGGGATTGACGATGGTACAGGGACCAACGTAGATAGAGGGCAAAGCACCATCGACGGGTCTGTGCTTGATTGGAATGTTTCTGTGGACTCGAGGCAGACCCCCTGTCGACTCGAATCTCTGGTTCTCGGCCCGAAATCGCGAATCGGGATCTAGTGGGAATCTAGCCAGCATACAAAGAGCATGCTCATAGCTCATGGCTCATAGTCATATGAATGACCCTTTCCTTCTTTGCCCCATGAACAGACAACATCAAACAACTAGTAACATCCGCCCCTGAGCTGTAACGGAACGGGTATCTAGCGACCAGCCTTTCCTTTTATAGTATTGCTTTACAAATACTAGCACGGTCAGAGAGGAACTACAAGGCTGCGCCAATATCCTCTGTCGCACTCTGCAAGGTCCTAGGCGACTCAACGACAAGGGTCTTCACTGTCTCTTCGAAGGCTTCAATTGAATCAAACCAATGCGTGATGCAGTGCCTCAGCGCGGCGTTGGTTCTCATGAAAGATTCATGACTTCCACTGATGAACTGGTGCACAAGCAAAAGCTTCCTTGTCATGCGGCTGAATCTTATTGAATACCAATTGACTGGCGACCCTTAACCACCCGGGCGTGATGATCACGCATCCAAGAATAGGAGTATATATATACATACTAGAGTTGCTGAAGAATGTGGACAGGAATGTCTAATCCACCATAAAGCAAAGTCTCTGGAAGCATGCCCATCTACGCATTAATTGCCCTGGCCAAACCCCTTACAACCCTTTTTTTGCACGTATAGCCGGTCTAGCCAATGATTACTTGCAAGACTTTGCATCATGCGATGAATGTCTCGTGTCTTTTGGGGCGAGACCGAAAGAAACACGGGTGCCACTTGACAGCATATCCAATATCTAAACAAATGGCATGATCCAACTGGTGTTGCAAAGGAACCACATTCTCAAAAGACATTCCAACGGGAATGTAGGAGCGAACCACGCGTTTGTGGTATACTGTTTGCGTCCCAAGAAGACACCGAGAAAACCCACCCTTCAAACACACCATACAATGCCCAGACACATGATGACCTGTCGATCACAAACCTGGCGATGTCGCATTAACCCAATCTGTGGAGTACTTCAGAATTGATCAGAATTGAAGATAGGACCAAGGACGCTACGAACGGGGCTCCTGGCATCGCCACTAGGACCAGACGCCACTAAGGTTCCTCCGAACCTGGAAGGTCGGTGCGACCAGGTGTTGTTTCTTCGTCCCTGGAACCCTGCAGGGGTCTGTTTTTCGCCCAAGTTCAGAGGTTTCCTCCCATCCAAATCCGGTTTCACGATAGGACGAGTACGTTGACATCAACGTCTTTTTGTGGCACGTGGACGTGCCCGGTTTGGAGGGCTTGCGCGTTGGCCGAAGAACAGCCTCTCATCGTTGCCCGGGTGAGAACACGCCTTTCTTGTTGTCCAGAGGGGAAGAAAAGGACTGACTGTAAGGAATGAGAAGTCATCCCAGCAATGCTGCGAAGAAGAGAGGACCCGACTCGCACAACATCCCTGCCTTTAAATCAAAGTTGTTTGTTGTTGTTTGTTGTCTTCCGCACCAACTACAACGCCGACATCCAGGCATGGTAGGAGCATCTATAAGTAGATATCCGTGCAATCACGGCACACCATTTCCTTCTTGTTCCCTTCCTCCACTCGGTGAATCTTGCTAAGATCGCCCAGCATTCGATTGGTGGGTATATTACCAGTTCAGTAGCTGAGCATGAATCCATCAAACAAATCAAAAGTCAAGCAAACATACAAACAGCACACCAAATCGATGGAAGATGAGGCATCTGAATGGCACTCAGAAAAGGGTCCTGGGACGCCCTGGGTTTATATATATATATACATATATCGGTATATATATATATGTTTTTAGTTATTGTGTTCTATATATGCATGTGTCTATCCCATGATTGTCCCATCTGCCAAAAACATGTCCATCTTCATCCCCATGTTCTGCTTCCCGAAAAGGAATTTTCCGTCCCATGAAGTTTGCACCGAGCCACCATCATCGCACCATTATCTTGCTGGTGTCCCTTGGTGCAACAGAAGCAGCTGGTTTTCTCCAGCTTGAACGAACCTCAGTGCTTGATCGAGAAGCAATCAAGCTTTCCGAGGGCAGCTCAGTGCAGCTCTCAGCTGAAAGGAGTCTTTTGGAATGGACCCAGTACATTCCAACGGGCATTTCGACAAGTTCCGGGCCCCCAAACCCATCTGCTATTCTTTCTTGCGGAACCCAACACCATCTTTTTGGGGGGGTCCTGGTGCTGAGAGCAAATCTTGAAACTGGGCCAGTCACTGACATGAATATTTAGTCCTGTTTCAGCGTCCGGAGTCAAAGACTGAACCCCCCAGTGTTTGTGCCAAGTCTCCGTGGAACATGCCTTGATTGCATCAGACTCACCTATATATGGTCCCGGTTCACTTGGAACAGCACCCAGGTGAACTTTCAATTGTTACTTCCTCCTACACTTGCTTCATACCCCCATGAGAGGAAAAAAGGACTGGACACGAGCTGCAACATGAAAACGGAGGGCTCTGCAGTGATTCCAAATGAGTTCTAGATTGCCAAATGACCCGAATTTCACTCGGCGTGAGAAAGGGAGTTTTTTGGTTCAAGGGACGATACGAAACGACCACGGTCTGAAGGGAGGTGGCCTTTCAGGCTCGAACGGTTTGAAGGCCTGAACTGAGGCTGTCCGGTTTTTCTCTACACGCACTGGCGCGCGGCATGTTTTCTTTAAAGGCACAGGGAAAGCAAACAAAAAAAACACAGGATGTCACTAGTTCCTGAGTATGGTTAAACAAAACAAAAAACAAAAATAACACGCACATCACATCGTTTCACTTGTACCAACCATCACAGTCTTGTGTTGTTTCGACATCGGGGGACATCCAAGTTCACAAAGCTGTCCACAAAAGTCTTGCGACTCGATCCAAGTTCTCGTCGATTCCATCGGGTTTCGACCCAGCGTTGTCTGGCGCGCCAATCGCGCCGACGTTTTTTCGCCGCGTGGCTAAGCTGATCCAAGGTGGACTCCAAGGAAGCCCAATGTGCCCGAAGGAAGCGGATCTCAGTTGGTCGGTGGTCTCGATGCGAGCGAGTATAGTACGTACGGGGGACAAACAAAGAAGCCTTGAAACCTCATGGTTTGGCGGCTTTTCCAAAATTGTTCAGACCACTCAACTCGTTTCAAAAGATCTTTCCACACACACCAAAAAAAAACCATGAGCCACAACAAGTTCTTTCTTTGAGTTGACCAATCTTGAAAAAAGGAAACTCGTCAAACTGTATCAAACTGTCCACTAATTAAACCAGTTTTCAATCAGAGTCCTTCATTCCAAGTATGGATTGGCACCCACTGGGTTGCCTGTGCTGAAAAATCCCGGGTACAGCCAACAGCTGCACCCACTGGGCTTCTGCTTTCATAATTCATTCATTCTTGATGATGCCTGCGCTAGCCGCTAGTAGGTTGCTTATTTCTTTGCTTTCGATCGCGTCTTGATTCGGATCTCTGACTCTGCAGACGTCCGCACTCGCCCTGCCGCCCTCCCTTGATCTGAGAAGCAACCGCAAAAATCACCGCAAGTGACTGGCGTTTTTCCCGCCTCTGGTTCTTCATGGTTTATAGTCTATACAGAATCAACATCATATGTATAGAATCATATACGTAAAGTATCTGTTCAAGTATTTCCCAGAACGAAAAATACGAAGGGATTCAGCACAAAGGAATATATCAATATATATCATACATCACCCCGGCAGTGTCCAACTGAACCCGCTCATCCGGTCCCAGAACCTCTGGAGGCCTCTTTTCATCCGAGAGTCGGCAGCAATCCAACAGGCCATGCCACTGACCGTCAAGACGACCATGCCCAAAAGGGGGGCTGAATCGAGGAAGGGAGTGTTCAGATTGCCTGCGCACCATGGTTTTTCACTGCGTGATTGGCTGGATGCACTGCGTCACAAAAAGGAGCCACGCGGGAAGAAAAAACAGAGTGAATCAAATTAAGCAATCTTCAAATCTTCTTCAACTTCCCAACATTGCCATCTGCATAGGAAAGTTAGTGCTCTTTCTTCTGAACACATGCCTCGAATTTCTGGAAAAAGCGGCCGGGTCCAGGTCTAAAACTCGATGATTCAGGTTCGAGGTGGGCCAGGAGCCCAGGCTGGGGCTTGTGAGAGTTGGTGAGGTAAAGCGGTGATCCGGTGACACTGGTATGTAGGTTTGGAGGGTCCAAATACCTTCTGAGGTACTTGGAGCCCTAGGGTTGGCAAACATGGACAGAAGCAAACAGCAAGGTGGCTGGTCTTATGTGGATAAACCCTCGGACTCGCAGCTGCGCATCCCAGCAAGCGAGTACAAGCAAGGCCTCCAACAAAAAACAACGCACGTTCTTGTGCAGCACATGATGAAAAATATGGAAACATCCAATCCATCTGCACCAAAACGTCCCAGCTGGTGTGCGACACGATTCCTAGATTCCTAGCTGGTCGCCGTGAAAACGCCACAGACCGCTACTTCGGTCCAACTGCGTAGGCCAAACATGGCACACCGAAGCTTTCGAGCACTAGGACGCCATCCTCCGACAGGAACGCGATTCACATATCTGTAATCACCTTGTTCATGAGATGTCATGGGATATGTGGATCTTAACTCACACTCCAGCCACTCCACGCCAGAAAAACAAGAAAACGGTGTGAAGATTTGTGCCCGGCCGATGGAGGTGAAGAAGCAGGCGAAGAAGATCATCATCGAGCAAGGCCCCAAAGTGACCGGTCCTCGATGCGCTGCTGGTCGTTCCCCAAAACTGGAAGATCCCAAACTGGCACAGTCACCCAACGAGTCAGCAATGCGACATCAAGAAGTAATTATATTTGATCATCATCTACCATGATCACATTATATATAATATAAGTATATGTGTATAATTTATATGGATTTAAATACTATAGTAATATATACATATATATATGCATATTAAACACTATAACATAATTGGAAGTGGATGATTCGTTGGATACGTTAGTATAATCCCTGTTGCTACCGACTATAGAAGTGCACACCCTTCATGTTATCCAGAATCTGGTTAAATAAAGTGACTTTCACACACCAAAGGTCCGCACAAGTAATTTAATCTTAAAAGCGAAACAAAACACAACAACTGTCTCACAATGTTTTCGAAAACAACTGGCTAACTTGATAAGTTTGCAAATCTGTCGTTGCCAACAGTTGTATTTAAGACCCTTTTTAGATAACCCTTAAACTAAATGAATCAAAAACGGGTTTTCTGTGGTGGACCAATGTCGACCACACTCATTTTAGATAGCTGGTAGCATCGGGGATGTATTTTAAGGGTCTGGAACGGTCATCGCATGACCTGCGAGAGGCGCCAATGCTGAGCAAGGGACGTGCGTGAAACCAACACACACACTTATGGATATGCGTGCTGACTCGACAGCGGTGCCACACGCCGGCCTGAGTGAAAAACCTAAGGAACCAGGACAGGTGTCAGTAAGTGGAGGCCCTTACTGCAAGGTTGGAGGCCAGCAAGGCTCAAAACACGAAAAGTGAGTAGCGATTAGTAACAGAACCACATGAACCACCATGAAAGCAAACCACAGCGAGAACAACAGGTAACCAGTTTGGCAGGTACGCTTGCACGGACCCCAGAGGAGGTCTTCGTTGGCCACCGCTCCTCTGGGGCCCCGGTGGCCCCCTGCTGTAAAAGTGGAAGCAAAACCAAAAACCAAACAATCCGAAAGGATCCCTGTGATTCCAAGGGTTACACACACACACGCCTCCCCAAAGGGAGGCAAATTTCTCGGTAGGTCTACCTTTTGGTACTAAGCTCCGGACGGGTCAAAGCCAGGTGTTCTTCTGAACCAGGCTCCGGACAACTCAAAATGGAGGAGGTGAGATTTCAGTGAGGATGGTTGGTGCGGTTGCCAGCTGCACAGTAAAAGGCCCAGGCACCCCTGCACGCGGTTATCCAGTAGGGTGTAAACCCCGCCGTAGGGAAGGGGAAAGGAAAGGTGTGTGGAGGCGCAGGAAGAGGAAGAACAAGAAACGGAAAAGAAGTGACCGTTTCTTGTAAACTGGAGGAAGGATGGTTGGTGCGGTTGCCAGCTGCACAGTGAAAGGCCCAGGCACCCTTGCACGCTGTTATCCGGTAGGGTGTAGACCCCGGCGTGAGGAAGGGGAGCGCAGGGAGGGGGAGGGGAGAGAGAGAGAGAGAGGGAGGGAGAGTGAGAGAGAGAGAGTGAGAGGTGCTCCCAGCTACGAGCCCAGCGTCCAAGGACACACCAAACGAGAAAAAAAAGAGACGATGGTGTTCCCAGCTACCACTCAAGCGTCCAAGGACACACCCGTCAAGAAAAGGAGAGAGAGCGACAGAGAGAGAGAGAGAGGTGCTCCCAGCTACGAAACAAGCGTCCAGGGACACACCAAAGAGGAGCGGGGAGCGGAGAAGGAGGAATCATCACACTAAGGTCCCGACAGGTTCCAATGAACCTTAAACTTGCTTTGACCGCTGTGGTCACCTTGTGCCCTGCCGAAATGGCTGGCTGCTTTGACCGCTACGGTCACGTAAAGGCATAAGCCAACTTGGAACTCCAAAGATGAGACAAACATCCCACTTCTTGAGGCGTAAGCCATCTACTGTCCGCTTCAGACACTTACATCTCCGGGCAGGGGAGATAACGACAAACCCCCCTTCGACGGGTCTACGGGAGGCACTTTGCGGGCTCATCCCGGGTTGGCACGAGGCCAAACACACTTATGGATATGCGTACTGACTCGACAGCGGTGCCACACGCCGGCCTGAGTGAAAAACCTAAGGAACCAGGACAGGTGTCAGTAAGTGGAGGCCCTTACTGCAAGGTTGGAGGCCAGCAAGGCTCAAAACACGAAAAGCGAGTAGCGATTAGTAACAGAACCACACCAGTTTGGCAGGTACGTTTGCACGGACCCCAGAGGAGGTCTTCGTTGGCCACCGCTCCTCTGGGGCCTCGGTGGCCCCCTGCTGTAAAAGTGGAAGCAAAACCAAAAACAAAACAATCCGAAAGGATCCCTGTGATTCCAAGGGTTACACGCACACACGGATAACATAACATGAAGCAACATATCCAAGCAAGTGGTATGAGTATGTATGAGTTGTAGCCTTCCAAGGCTCGAATGAAGATTGGCATCGCGTTTCCTTCCTTCCCTTCTTGACACTTCAGGAAGGCAGCCAGCTCAAAGACACACCAAAGCCTCCGCTATCTGCGCACTGTTGACGGGACAGCCAAGCAAAAATCGGGGTTCTGTAATGGAAGTGGTTGAACACCTTTCCCCAGCTTAGTCATTGTGTGCCCAAACCTTTTGCCAAGGGACCCTTTTGCCAATCGTTTGACGAGGTGATCAGTCTCACCTGGTCCTTGAGGTTCATTTTGGAAGAACTTGTAGGAGTTCAGCGTTGTTTTGTGTTTTTGGTCACCACCAAAGTGAAAGGCAAAGAACAAAAACATCGGAATCGGGCCCAAGCACCAGCTGCTCATCAGTTGCTTTTGGTCCAGCTGTGTTAGTTGGGTGTCTTATGCGTTTGTTATTTGCATGTTATCCCAAAGACCCTTGAATCAAGATCCTTTGTATCACGACTGACAAAAAAGAACGGACACCCGTCAGCTATCATCAGCTTGCAACTGTTCCTTTTGTCAACTCAAACATTGCTTTTCACTACCAAAGGACATCACAGCGAACAGCGAATAGCTGCTACGAGACGCTTAGGATTCACTTTTGGATCACGAAGACACGGGCATGCCTTGCCTGGAAATCCAGGTGTGGTCCCAGAAGACATGCAACGATTCCTTAGGTTGCCAAAAGTAACAAATGGGCTTGGATGGTCTGAGTCTTAATCACGATGAACGTGAGCACAGAATCTAGATGCCGGAGCAAACTCAGTTGGTTCATGGGAGGATCATGAATCTTGATGTGTGAAACAACTCCTCGGTCGGGAATTGGGATAACACCCTGACTGACCCATTCGACATCCATTTGACCTGTTTTGAAAGTGAGCTTGTTTCTACTAGCTTCTTGTTACTACTAGTAAGGCACCTGTTACTACTAGCGTGGCACCTGTTACTACTAGCTTGGTGTAAAATAGTTGAATTTGACACTCTCAGTTCGGTTGCAACACAACGCACGGCCACGTCATCTCATTCTGACTTCAGTCGGACACTGGTCCGGTCCGGTCTCATCTTGGCAAGGGTACCATTGGTTCTCCTTCCATCCATTGCATGCGTGGAATATATATATATATGCCTTACATATGTGGTCACCTCTTGACCCTGACCGCACACTTTTATGCCGGGGTCAAGTGCCTGCTGAACAAAAGGCATTTCCT